GGTAGGCGGCTGGGGAGCCCCTCAGCTCAAGGCAGGCCCTGCCCTGCTGGGGGTGAGGTGGGGGGGAGATGTGTCCTCTTCTCAACAGAGGGGTTGCAGGGGGGGTGGCTACCTAGGTCGACTCGGGGACTAGCTGGGAAGGAAGGAAGGAAGGCTTCTCAACCATGGCGACTGATGGTCAAGATCTTGTTAAAGGACTATCTCTTTTTAGCTTGGAATCCAAAATCTGAAGGGAAGGCCCTTTCAAGACCATTGTGCAATTTGGGGAAAATCTCCTGCAGCACTCCCCATAGAATCACCCCTAGTGTTGGCCCCACAGCCTTTTATCAGCAGGTCAAACCTTCCTCTTTGTCCAGGCAGGTTAAGGTGACCAGTCAGTTCCCTGTATAGGGAATCTTAGGGCATCTTAGGGTTTGGTGCATAAATATGAAAGTAGCATTAAAAAGTACTGAAATAGACTGGATGTTCCAGGTTCACGGAGGGGGCCATGTTCGGGGTCTCCTCAACAGCATCCCTTTCCTCGGATTCCTTGAAGCGCAGAAGGGTGAGGCGGCCTCCTTATCTCGACTCCAGCCAGGAAGGTTTCCCAGTCAGCAGCTCAGCTTGGCTAATTGGGGTGAGGGAGGCTAACGAGAGGCCCTTGGAACGTGGGTGACCGAGAAGAGGATACGTGGCAGGAGAGACTGTCACGGTTCCATGTGTGGCTGGAATTCAAAGACGTGGAGACACCCATGTTTGTTCACTGATTAATTCTGCCTGTTATGGAGCAAGATAATTAGAAATCAACAGGCAAGAGGTGCAGGAAAGAGAGAGGCTGAGATTGAGCTAATTATATGTGCTTCGTAAGCAGGTTCCTGCTAAATGTTAGGGTGAGAACGAGGGGCAGCAGGACACCTGATATGACTGAGTCATGACTTTGTTTTCCTTGAATTTTGTTTTCACGCAAAACCCACCCTGAGACAGGACATGCTTTGGGAAAAATATAAAATGAACTCATCTTAAAAGGGGGGGGGGTTGCGCTCACTTTGTGGTTTACCCTCAAGCATCTTTTTTCTGAACAGAAAAAAAGCTTTAAAAGGTCTCTCTATCCAGGGTAACCTAACTGAGTGGGGCACACCAGTTTAGGGACCTCCAATGCTCCTAGGAGCAGGAGAGGAGAGCCCACCAAGTGGTTTATGTAGCCCAGCAGGTACCAGATTTTAAGCAGACATGCACCAGGGCAGGGCCTGTGTTGTATAGTGAAAGGAACAGAACAGAATAGAATATAGAATAACAGAAAGATAGAGAATAGAATAGAATAGAATAGAATAGAATAGAATAGAATAGAATAGAATAGAATAGAATAGTTTTTTATTGATCAAGTGTGATTGGGCACACAAGGAATTTGTCTCCAGTGCATAAGCTCTCAGTATATATACAAACAACAAATGATAGGTCATTTATCATAGATCATAATTACAATCATTAATCATAATACACAACAACGAGTGATAAATCATAGACATCAATAGGAGAAGGAAGATGAGAAAGATGGGAAGATAAGAAGCATAGTATCAATACAGCCCTACTGCATGGGTAAAATATCTTTAGGCCTAAGACGGTGCTGTGGGAATTAAGTGTTCAGCAGAGTGATGGGACAGAAGAAAAACTATCTTTGTGTCTAATTGTTTTGGCATGCAATGCCCTATTGCGGCATCCAGAGGAGAGAAGTTGAAACAGTTCATGTCCAGAATGTGAGGGGTCTGTAGATATGTTCACAGGGGTCTATGACAATTCACCAACTCGCCTTGGCCAACTCATTGCTGGACAAAAGTTACACTAATCACAAAGAAATGATGGAATAGAATCATTAAAGAAAGGGTGTAAAAGAAGGGACAGAATGAAATATAATCGACAAAAATTAAAATATTTTTTTATTTATTTTAAACAATTAAATAGAATTGTTAAATTGTTTCGCAGTGAGTTGTCCCATGGCAAGTTGGCTGTGGCGAGTTGTTCCATTCCCTTTCACAGCCCTCTTTCTGGCCCGTGCAGCATACCGGTCCTCAGTGGGAGGCAGGCTGGTAGCAATTGTTTTTTCTGTAGTCCTAACTATCCATTGAACTCTGTGCTTGTCCTGTTCGGTTGCCATTCTGGCTGGGGAATTCTGGGGGATGAAGTTGACGCCTCTTCGAGAAACTCCGGCAGAGCTTGCGGCTCCCTCTCCAATAACGCCTTTGTCCTCAGTGAGGTCTTCTGCAAAAGCGGGAAGGTGCTGCAGGAGAAGCAGCTCCTCCGCCTGCCCAAACTGGCCAGCACCTACGAGACCATCGCCAAGCAGGGTGCAGACGCCTTCTACACCGGCAGCCTGGCACAGCAGATGGTGGCCGAGGTCCAAGACGCAGGTGAGCAGCACAAACTACCTGCAAAGCAGGGGCTTGGTGGTCGCTGTCTCCCTGGGGAGCATTTCCACAGCCCAAGCAGTTCAGGCAGCCAGGAGGGGGCTGGTTTCCTGCTCCTCCATTCTGGTTCAGCAAAACAGCTGGTCCTGCGCTGCTGTGTCCCGTCCTGGTTCTGAGAGGGGGGGGGTTGCATCCCTGCACTCAGCACCCGGTCCAGGGCAGGGTCTGCCCTGCTGGAAGGTCTGCATACACATACCAAGCACCCTCTTTCTGGGGGGGGGGGGCTTTTTCTGCTAGCCACTTAGCAAAATTTGTTCCATGGCAAATTATAATAAATGAGAATATTTGCTCCAAAAGAGCTGATGGTGTTTCAAAGCCAGCTGAGAACACTTCCCCATAGCCTATCTCGAGGGGGGGAGGCACTCTGCAAAGGTGGCCTTGCCACAGAACTGTAACGGACTGTGTGGGTGACCTTGGGGGACGAGGGGAGGAGAAGCTGCCTAGGAAGCAACCAGGCAAGAGAGGCCGGAGTCCCTAGTGGCTAAACGGACAGAGGAAGGAACTTAGAAATGGATCTGCACTAATGGATCGAGTCCTTTTGTGGCCGAGGGAGGCTTCTGTCTTCAGACTTGCAAGATTTTGTTAATGCAGCCTTACAGTAAAGGAGCTTTAGCTCATCAGGTTGGGCTTCCTGTCTGGTTTGGCTAGGAGGGCTGACAAGTGTTTTTTTACTAACCTGCCTTTCAGCTGCATTCCGTTTCTCTGTTCCCTTCTCACCCTTTGCCGTGTGTTTGTGGGACAAAAAAAGAAGTTCAGTCAGACTTTCTAACGTCTTGAGATCTCGCAAGAAGTCTGACTGAACTTTTTTTTGTCCCACAAACACGCGGCAAAGGGTGAGAAGGGAACGGAGAAACAGAATGCAGCTGAAAGGCAGGTTAGTAAAAAAAAACACTTGGGGGAGGCGAGGGCATCTGGGTGGGGGCAGGCACGGCAACCTTACCCTGTGTGGCTTCGGCAGGTGTCTGCCCAGGCCCCGCCCCACCCCCACGCACTCGTGGCCTACTGGTGTTGGTACCAGCAAAAGTAAGCCCTCCCCGAAAGTAAAGCCCTGTGCTTACTTCAGAGCCCAAAAGAAAGTAAGACAGTGTCTTACTTTCGGGGAAACACGGTACCTGTCCCTAGCTTCATGCAGGGGTCGTTCTAGAAGACGGGACCTATTTCTCATCCTCCTAGTCACTATATTTTGTTCCACTTCTGCGTGGGGAAGAGGAAGGCAGCCCTTCCTCCAGCCTTCTTCAGCTCAAGAGGGGAAATGGACTCTGTCTATGGACATCCTTGGTCTTCTAACTGGCCTTCAACCACCTTCTGGGTCATCATAACACCTGGGTCAACTTTAGAAATGAGCATGGCTATAGCCATTTTCCATATTCATTTTCGGTTGACACCTAGAAAGGAGGGAGAGGGGTTGCCAGGTGCTTTGCTAGTCTAAATAAACTTTTATCCGGTGGGAACCAAGGTCATCGGCTGCTCCGGAGACTGTAGGCTGGGCGTTTCGTGAAAAGCCTGCCAAGAAGATGTATTGGGGAACGTAGTTGCTTGCATAGCCTTAGGGGTGAGATTTCTTAACTTTGTATTGGGGAATTGTTACGTATGTCTTCAGACTTGGTTTCATTTTTGAAGTGCCGATACTGTGTAACTAATAAACATGTTCTTTGAGAAATTTGCAGGCCTTGGAGTTCTGCTTTATTTGTCTCTGTCTGTCGGAACCATGACAACCTGCTCTTTCATTAGCTGTTGGTACTGCCATCAATGCTTCTGGGCAGTCCCTTTGGGGTGCCCCTTTAGCTTTGGCTTCCAAGAATTGGTGATGGCAAGAGAGTCTTGAGATGGCATTCAGAGACCCACTTCACATTCCTATAGATGAAATTAAGAAATGCTATTCAGAAACTGGCTGAAAATTTGAAAGGAAGGCTCCTGGCCTGGAGCACAAACTCACTTTGGAGAGAGGAACTCAGCTGAGAAGTCAGGACGTCTGAATTGTAGCAGTAGCTTTCTGACAGGGGCAGGGAGGGGGCAGTGCCCGCTGCCCCTCTAGCTCAGACCCCAGGTAAGCTATCCTCCTTGGAGAAGCCGGACTGTTCGTGGAGCCATCAAAACCTTGAAACACATCTTAGTAGCTTAGAAAGCTGATATTTGACCTCAGTAGCCTGATAACTAGAACCAAATGACTGAAGGTCAGAAGCGTTCCAGGGAGTTTTAGAAAATGTGTGTCTCCCAGGGTGGATTTGCAAACTCTTTCCCTCTCTGTGGGAGGTGAGGGCTGGCATGAGCCCCTCTGCAGCCCTCAGAAAGTGCTCCACCGCACTTTCTGACTCATCTGCAAAACAGAGCATTAAAAATACAAGATATAAGTTAAAACAATACAAATCAAAACAGAATTAAAATTAACCAAAGTTAAGAGCCGATAAAGCTTAGAAGATGTGCTTTTATTGTTAAATATTGGGAGAGGATGCCCAACGCTTCTCCCATTATCTGGGCGCCATGTGAGTGACCTTCCTCCGGGAGCAAGACGGAGCTCCTGGCAGTGGGGGAGCCAGAGCTGGGGTGTGTGTGCGTCATCTCCACATGTCCAGTTGTCAGGATCCCCTTCCTTCTGTTCCAGGCGGGATCCTTACCATGGAGGACTTGAGGGATTACCGACCAACCCTGGAAGAAAACCCTTTAAAAGTGCAACTTGGCCAATTCAGCATGTATGTGCCCAGTGCGCCTCTAAGTGGTCCTGTGCTGGCCCTGATTCTCAACATCCTGAAAGGTAAGGACTCCTCCTTCATTGGGACATTCGCTTTTTTTATATATGTATATAAAAAGTTTTTTATTTATAATACAATTAAAACAAAAATGGACATACGTGGCATTCCAGAGTAAATATTCCTAACAGTTTGTTTCTCGTGATACAAAAACTTAATACATCATCCTTAACCTCTATATAAGCCTCATTCTTCTACACAATACAATTATATATACAATTATATGTACAGTTATATGTATGTTTCAATCCTATTGTTAGCTTAAGATCCAAGCAGTTCTCCTTGATTCATACCAGCGATAAAATTTGTCCCAGATTTCGAAATATTCCAGTTCTGTCTTGTCTTTCCTAGCCATTGTAAGCCTGTCCATCTCAGCACATGATAAAATTTTATACAGGATTTCTTCTTCCGCTTTTCATGAGGATTGCAAAATTGCCCCAGAACTGGAATGTCAACTCAGTTTCAACAGAGTAAGGGGGGGGGGAGAGAAACAGGACGGGACTGTGAGCTATGAAAAATGCTGCAGCAGGATCACCCCAAGCAGTGGCACCCCGTTGAGTTGGTTTCAGCCCAGAGGTCCCTCCATTCTACCCCAATGGGCTAAAGGGGGCCTCTTCTGATCCAGGGACAGGCAGTTTTCTTTGGCTGAACTGTTTTGCACAGTTTTTAGGGTGTCCCTCAACTGGATGGCCTGCCAGATAGCTCTCTGTCCACCTTCTCTCCCTGGTGGGTGCCCGTTAGTCAGCTTGTGCTGTTTCCTCTTTCATCTGGGCAGCCAAAGTGCCATCCAGAGGGAGCCAAGAGGGGCTTCAGTCTCTCAGAAGTTCTGCTAAGGTGGCTTGACTCTCCCAGCTCCTCCTGGGGCAGGTGGGTGGGGGGCTAAGGACAAGGACCCCGAGGTCTGAAATGCAGGACAGTTTAGGGAGGAGGGTTAGGTAGGGGACTGTGCTGTTGGGCTTTTTTTGGCTGCCGTCAGAAATGTCCTCCCCCCCCCCCCGTGGTGGGGACTTTTTGCGCCATGAGAAATGGGGAGACAGTGGATACGTCTGGCAGCTTTGCCTCCCACTTCATTGGTGTTTCTGTTTCTGCCAGGCAAGGTGTCCTTCCTCATCTGTACCCTTTTGAGGGCATTTTCACTGCCAGCCTCGTTACTTTTCTTATTCCCTTTAATGGTTTTACCTTGATTTTGCAGATGTTAGTTTTAATCGCATTTTTATTATAACTTTAGATGGCCTTAATGGTTTTTCAAACTACTCTCCTCCAAAGGCAGAAACAGAAAAGAAGCAAATCACATAGACCAGTGGTGGCGAACCTATGGCACGCGTGCCAGAGGTGGCACTCAGAGCCCTCTCTGTGGGCACGTGCGCCATGCCCCGGAGATGGCAACTGTCCTCTTCAACCAGCCGCCCACTAACTCGCCGAGGTCCCACATAGCCAGATACATCCCAGCACCCATGCACTCGCTGGTCTCTGTGTGCGGGGGCCAATGGTGTCAGGCAGCAGCCGCCCCGGCCCCTGCCTCGCCTTGCCCTGCGACAATGGCACCCCCGCCCTGCCTCGCCTTGTCTCACCTCACCCCGCAGGACGAGCCTCCTGCCCACCCCTCCACCCACCAAAGACCCCCTGGATCTCCCCAACCTTTCCCGGCCCCCACAGGCATCCCTCCCCAGGAGCAACATCAAGCTGGCCACGCCAACCCATCTGCCATGACCATTGTAGCCATGCCCACCCAGCGGGCCACGCCCACCCAGCACCCGGCGATACATAAGTGGTTTTGGGTTGCAGTTTGGGCACTCTGTCTCTAAAAGGTTCGCCATCACTGACATAGACCAAATTATTTGGCATTTTTTGCACTTCTGCTTGGGAGGTTTACCTGCAAGGCGTTGCATCATTTTTTGCTCTCCAATCAGGGAGAAATGGTCCAAATGGAATTGGTACTTCAAGAGGTTTCTACCCCATGAACCTCTTGAAACCTCCCAGACCCCCATGTGAGAAATGTTCCAATTCCAGGGGGGGTCCGCTCAATTCCAACAATCTTGCCCCCCAGGCTCTTCCTTGGATGCCTTCAGAAATCTTTTGCAAGGTATGGCTTCTATTCAGCAGAGCCTGGGACTGTGGTCTCCTGCTGGTCTTGCTTCCATCCAGGCCCCTCTGATGTTTGACCTACTGACACCTTCTTTTCTGTGGCACATCTATTTGCCTTCACCTCCCCCCACATCTTGCCCCCCCCAAGTTCTTTCACACCCGTATTATTCCTTGTGTTTTCATCCCCGCTCCAAGAAGAACTGTGTGCCACTCTGGCTGAACCTCTGGCATTTCCTTTCATTCCACAGGCTTCCCCCTTGTCACATTCCGCTTATCCCCTACAGCCACCAACCTCCCTAGTCAGATAAGGTGTCCCATAATTCACATATATTGTGTATGTTTTCTAAATCAAAGAAGGTATAGTAGACATTCATGCCTTCCTTAGTGAATGTAGGGCAGGAAGAATCTGTTCTGCTTGGGCTACACAAAGCAGCACTGCATTTCCCAAATGTTATTCATTTCTACCTGTGCCTTTTCAGGTCAGAGACCTCACCTTTGCATTCACTGTTGGTGCTTTTCACGTCCTGTCCGAGCTGAATGAAGACAGCTCCCAACTGTGGCTCCAATTTGGTGTTACAGCAGGAATTGTGAGTCCAGGAAAACCCCAAGTCACTAATATGGTCTTTCCAGCATTTCCCTAGGTTTCCCCAATGACTACAGCAACACTCCTCTTCAACCTCCCCCTCCCCACCCATCTTTCTTGGACAGGTTTGCTTCAGATAATCCTTGCCACAGCCATCATTTCCAACTTATTGTCTTCATCCAAGTTTGAACTACCAGCAGCAGCGCTTGTTCAATCTAACCTCCGGCCTTGGTGCCTGATGGTCCCTGACATGCCTGATGTTTGTGCTCGATTCTCATGGCAGGCTTCCAGTTCTCTAAGAACAGCATTCTGACTCCAGAAGAGAAGGGCTTGACGTACCACCGCATCTTGGAGGCTTTCCGCTTTGCCTACGCCAAGAGGAGTTTACTTGGAGACCCTGCATATGTCAACCTCACAGAGGTAACTCCGTGCCCTGCTCTGCTCCTTTGCCTCTTTCCTACACCCCTTCCCCATTGCTCCTGGCTGAACAGAGCCAAGTGACTCAGCTGCATTTTGTTGGGGGGGGGGCTGAACTGAGAGACAAGCTGGCCATCACATTAGTTGCTCAGGAAAAACACAAGGAAGATCATTGGCCTGCGAATTATCGCTTGTCTTTTCCTATAGGATAACTCTTCCATTCTTCTGTCTAGGTGATGAGAAACATGACATCAGAGTCCTTTGCCGACAGTTTGCGGGGCAAAATCACCAACACTACCCATAACATCAACTATTATGAACCAGATTACTACACTCCAGAGCATGCTGGGACATCCCATGTCTCAGTCGTAGCTGAGGATGGCAGCGCGGTCTCGGCCACCAGTACCATCAATCACTAGTGAGATTCCAGGCTGGAGTGGCTGCTGGAGAAGGGCTCAGTCAGGCCCAGAGGCTGCCCTCCCCAGGTGCAGGCTGAGGTGCTCTGAGAGGACCCTTCCCCCACAAGCCCCAGGCTCCCAAAGCTGAGAAGGGGGAGTGGCTCGCAGAGGCTGGAGAGAAGCCAAGGGAACCGGCCCCATAGCGCCTGGACACTTGCCCACCCAAGTCTTGATCTGAGCGTTGATCTTTATGGATGGCATTTGGGTTTGTGGGTCTGTATGTGTGTTTGTGCGCGCATGCATGCACGCACATAAGCACAAGCCGGAGTGTTGTTCTGTTGTTTTGTTTTGTTAGTGAGAGCTAGTCGTGTCTGGTTTTTCCCAAGAGCCCCCAACCAGAGCTGCTTGCCACTCCCTTATCGACTAAGCAGCTATCACTCCCAACTCTGCACAGCCCCACTTCCATTGTGCTATCTGCCATTGCTCCCCACAATCTCTTCCCTGACTCTCCTCCTGAATTGGCTGCGGTGCACGACATGCTTCTTCCCCAGATATGTCCTGGCACTGCCCCAGCCCCTCCTCTGCCTTCCTTCTCCCTCTAGACAAGCCCAAAAATAGGCAAATACCTGTGTTCCCTGGCCTTTGCCTGCTGGTCAGTCTGGCTTCAGCACTGGCCTTGCATTGCTAAGTCTGTGTGGAGAAGCCTCCGGTAGCTCCTTCTGGGAAGAGGGCTGGTGATGCCCGGGCTCCGTGCAGGGGCAACAGGACCCCTGTGGCCTTGGAGCTTTGGCATTTCCAGGAACGGCTGTCAGGAAAGCTGGGTGCAAAGTGAAGCTGCTGGGTTCACATATGGATCCTCTTTCTCTTGCCTGCCTCTGTAGCTTCGGCTCCGACCTCCGTTCCCCTGTGAATGGCATCATCTTCAACAATGAGATGGATGACTTCAGCTCCCCCCACATAGTGAATGGCTTTGGGGTCCCCCCTTCGGTGGCCAACTTCATTGCCCCAGGTAAGGCTTTGCTTGCGCACTTCTCTGCCTGCTGCTTGAGCAAATCATCCAGCCCCCTCCAGGCCCCTCTCTGGGGAGGGTCTCCTCCAGGCAGCCTGTCTTCCCCCTCCCCAGGCCCCCCTCGGTTCCTTGAGCACCGGGTGCCTCTGCAGCCATGGAGGGAGAGGCAATCCATGGAAAGGTGCCCGCTGCTTCCAGGGAGTGAGCCAGGCTGCCACTTCTCTTCTCCTGGGGGTCAGGGATATCTGCAATGGGTGGTCAAAAAAGTCAAGATGGCAGCCACATTCTTTTGTGTGAAGCTTTGCTCAGATTGCCTTTTTTGACCATCTACTGCAGATACCCTTCTCTGTGGTTTGTTCCTCAAGGCCTGCTTCTTTGCCCTATCTCGTTTTTTAAATACATTTTTATTAAAGTTTTACAAAACACATAAAAATTAATACAAACTAATAAAGAGCAGTGGGTGAAAAAAGGAAGGAAGGAAAGAAGGATCAAAAAGATACAGAAATTTTCAATTTCCTTTGCAGCAATTATGCATATAATTAAAAAAACCTCTTACCCTATGATTACAAAAAATCATAGTTCTAATTTTTAAAACCACAAATCATAAGTGCCTTTTTTCTGTTTCACGCAAAAAGTCTATGGGGGACAGGGGGTTTCAGGTCAACCATAAGCATAGGTGTTGCTTTCTCTGTAACCAGGCAGGCCAGCTGAGCTTGGTTCTCTGCAATTTCCATCCCCTCCATCAACCTTCCTCTGCAGTGGATAAAATCGAGCCTTTCTAATTTGGAGCATGGAATAATCTCGCTGCAGTTGCATATAAAAATAGAATTCCACAACTTTTTTCTAGTTGCTTGTCCATTAGTCCCAAAAGAAAAGTATCTGGCTTCAATTGCACTTATTTTAGTACATCTTGATAGGTGATCCATTTATGTTTACTTATAATATCTGGTCTATAAAATGCTTCTTGTGCTGAAAGCCACAAAGGCATTTTGGGGCAAAACCTGAGTTTATATTTATTCCATACAATAGGTCATCTATTAAAATACAATAGAGCCACTGAACTCCGGGATAGAAAAATCTTTTTAATAACTACAACTTAGCTTTCGAAAATCCTCTGTTGACATCGTCAGAGTGTAATCTGTGGTTAGAGAAACCTGCTTATATAGCTAGATGGATGTTTAGCGATCTAGCCATGGAGCGCGTGAGCGGTCCACCCGCCCTCTGCCCTCCCACGGTTGGCCGTCCTATTCCTAATTGTGCTGTATTAGCTGGTGCTCGTTTCAATTTTGACATTCTCCCTCCCCCTGCCTGTCCTGACCGCCAGCTGCACTCCTCCTGCCGTGTTGTTGCCAGATCTTCCCCCTGGTGTCTCATCCGGCATTCTCGTCAGATTGCCGTGTGGTCATGTCCGGTAGCAATCCTCCCGTCGCGCGTCCCGTCTTGATCGTGCTGGTCCAAAGTCCTTCTCTCGATCCTGCAGAGGGGTGTGTTAATGTCCCCCTTTCTCTACTCACTGTGCCCTCTTGCCTTTCCATGAGTAAATGTCCTGAATTTTCAGAATTTCCATTCCTGCGGTGCGGAGGTGGTAAGCAGTTCGCTCACTTTGCCGCCCCGCGTAGCTGTTTGTGCCTTCTCAATGTTTGATAGGCCGGCAGCAGCTCTATGTGCCGGTTGATTGAATGTTCATCCAATAGCCAAGCCTCTTTCAATAGGCGGCCACCTTTCGTGAAGTCCTAACCCTAACCTCAGCCCCCGCAAAATTGAATGTATGGTCGCTCTCGGTTTAGCTCTCGCTAAACATCCATATTAAGGGAGTAGAGGAACAACATAATAACTTGCGACAAAGGCAACGAGCGCTGGCCATGCAGGATCGGAATGGCTGGCCCATGCGACAAAAAATTACAACTGCCGAAAGGAAGGAATCTCCAGTGCATCCTGTGCAAGAACTAAGGCAGGGGGAGCCAGGGCACAGCCAAAAAGAGGGATGGCCATAGGACAGGAGGCGTTAAAGGCCAACTCACAGCAACAGGCACTCGGACATGAACCAGGCAGACAAGGAGAGCAACCATAAGGGAGGAAATGATCCCTGAGTTTAAGAACACACGGACTGATGTGGCACAACTAGAAACAATACGGCCAATTGGGGCGGGCAGACCGGTAACTTGCTCCATGAGCAGAGTGCAAAAACAGCTGGCTTTATAAGCAAGTTCCCAAAACACCGGCATTTTACTCTGACGATGTTGGCAGTTAGCTGACGAAAGCTAAGTGTATTAAAACAGTTTTGTTTGTATTTATCCTGGTGTTCGATTATCTTCTTGAATATATATATATATATTGTCTTTTATAACACTAAAAATGTGAATCCTGGGTATGAGCATGTTAGCAAAATTGAAAGAAAAATGAACACCAGGATAGGAATATAAACAAGACTGTTTAATATAAATAAGTCTGTTGGTAAAAATCACTTAGCTTCCGTCGGCCAATGAGACCATAGGCGAGACGGCGGCTACCTCCAGGGAAGACGGCGATTTGACAGCATGCCCGAGCTGCAATCTGGGGACTAACGCCCAAGATCGAGACGTCGGCGGCAGCTCAGGAGTTCTTGGCTTCCATGACGGCCTTGGACTTGTCCCAGTTAATTCAGACCCCCACTCACACGGGCGGACACACACTGGATCTAGTTTTTGTCTCTGGCCAGTGGCAGAGTGATCTGACAATAGGGGAGATAGTGGTTGAGCCCTTGTCATGGTCAGATCATTCTCTCCTAAGGTTG